TAATATGTTATTAAACATGTTCCATTTAATGTTTGATTATCTACAATATTTTTTCCTGAAGCTAATATCGCTTCTGGTTTAATTTCTTCAATTTGTAAGTTTTTTTCTTTTAATTTAATACATTTTCCTTGTTTTTTGTTTAAAATTTCTGTTAAACATGTGCTCTTTTGTATTTAGTTTACAATAGGTTTTTGAAATTTCTTTTTTACAATTTTGAATATTAAAAAAATTATTGTTACAGTATATTACGTTCTGGTCAATAATAAGTTTACCATCTAATTGAGCTATGGCTCTTACATCATAGTACTTACATGTTAGTTCTATTTTAGGGTATTTTATGTAAATTATAATTATGTCTCCTTTTTGGGCTATTTTAAATTTAGAAATGTCCATTAAATCTGTTATGGTCATTATACCGTGTTGGTAATATGTTATGCTTTTTAGTTCATCAAAGTGTAAAATTGTTGGATTTAAAATTCCAATTTTACCAAAAGTCATTGGATTTATTAATTTTTGCAGTTCATGTATGACATATTAATTTCGTTTTCTTTTTATTTTCCTGTTTGTGGTATCACCTTTAATATTATTTACTGTGTCAGTTAATTCTGTTATTATTTTAAAAATCTCCGAATTTGTTGTAAATTGTTTATTGTTATTTATTACCAGTTCGTCCAATTTGTCATTAATTTTTACAAAGTCGTCATGGTCTGGTGTACCAGCTACCCATTTCCAAAATTTCATTTATACCCCTTTTTTGCATAAAATGGGTTTGTTTTAATTGTTCTAATAAAGTTTTAATTMTCAAAATTTCAGATTCTGTTTCCTGTGTAATAAGTCCAGGGCTGTCGTGGTTTTGTTCGTTATTACTGTAAAAATTTATATTTTCGTCTGCTTTTTTTTCAAAATAAGATAAATTAGTAATGTGAAACAGATCCCCGTATTCCTCATAAATGGAAGCATCTCAATAAGTACGTAGTCTTGTCGGGTATAGTCTATAACATCAGCGGCTGCTGAGCTGATTAGTGCAGTCAAAATTAAAATTATCATATTGGAAACCTATAATAATTATAATTTTATATTATCTTTATGAATAATTCTTTAACTTGCTGGTTTTTCTATCTAGGTTGTAATTTATTTCTCTCTCCTATTATTTTCTCGTAAATGAAAGGTATTTAACCTATGCATTAAGGACTTAAATGTTGGTGTGGTAAAACTTGGTTCATTTTCTAAAGTAATTCGTTTTACATCTGTGAAACTTTGAAGCAATTCTAAAACCTTTTCTTCGATATTTGATTTATCTTCTATATGTTTTAATATTAAAAATTCTGAATAAGCGTCTACACATGTGATAAATTTTAGTTTCTGTGCGTAGAAAATGTCTAAATGAAGTTGTTCTCCTTCTTTTTCTGGGATTGGGGCTTTGCCTATTGGTATTTTCTTGGGATGGCGATCATATTTATTTTTATTACATATCATACAATTTCGAACGTATTCTTTCATTATTTTCCTCATTTCTGGCCAGTAATGTAATTTTTCTATTTATTTAATATTTTCATTATAGCTTCTATGAGCTCTATTATTGCTTTGTTCGATTAATCCGGACTGATCTTCTGTATTAATAACATCCATTGGAAAAAGTTTTGTAAATACAAATTTGTTCTGAAAAGTTTGTTTGAGAGTTTCTGGACTTCATGCAAATCTTCAACAGTACAGTGAATCCCCGTCACTAGCTTTGGCTGAGTATATTCTTTCAAAATTGTTAATAAATTTTCTATTGTATCAAATTCTATTAAATGCCTTATATTTCCAAAAGTTTCAATCAACTCATGGACTGTAAATCTGTTCTTACATAATATTATTTGTTGTTTAAATTGATTTATGGGTTTTTGTGTCTCTTGTATTTGAACGCTTTCACTACTCTGTGCTGAATGTTGGGATTCCTGACTCTGGGAATCATCAGAAATGTTGTATAATTCAAGACGCGACACGTAAAGACGCGACACGTCTTTAATTCAAGACGTCAGCTACAATATTGGATTTACCGGGTTGGTATAAAAATTTTGGAGAAAATTCTTTTATAATTGCATGCCATCTTTTCATTTTTGGATTAGGATTGCGGGGTGATAAAGCAAATGTTAGTGGTTGGTGATCAGTATGAATTTCCGAATTAGTTACTCCATAGAGGTAATTTCGTAGATCTTTTAATGAAGGTTATTTCTTTACCCCCTTGCGATAGTACAGCACCCATTGCAATGTTAGATGCATCGGTAGTTAACCCATTTGCAACCATTGTACTCGCTTGTGTACAGAAAATCAGTCAAGTTTAGGCATGTGGCGTAACTCAATGCTAAGTATTTGCACACAAATTTTTGATCATATGAGTAGTTTTATTCCTAGAAACAACAAACAAAAAAATACATTCGCTTCACGCGAATTCATAACGGCACTTTTTGTGGCGTCAACTTATATGCGGTTTTTTCATATTGTGTGATTTTGTGTCTTTAGTCATTATTTTGCTGATGATGAGCTATTATCTCTCAGTTGTTAGTTTTAAAATTGTGTGTTCTGTGAGATAAGACTAAAGAGATCAATTTTACAAAAAAAAACCCATTTGAAAAACCTATTCTTATTTGAGGTATGTGCCTTTTAAAAGTTGTGTACCCACTTAGGTACAATGGCAGAATGTGTAGGTGAAATAAAAAATTGTATCTTTTGGTTAGAATGGCTATTTCCACTTCGTGTTTTTATGGAAAGAGATATAAACAACCTTCACAGGCTCTAGCTGGCATCACGGATGATGATGAGGCAGATGACGTCGATATCGTTATGATTCCTCCTGATGGCCTTGCCTTGCCTGGCGACGTTGCTGGGTGCGTTGAAGTATTCAATAACAGCATAAACTTTGACAGCGAAGATGAAATACCGCTTGCCCAGCTACAAATAATGGGTGCGAAATACGTTCTGTAAGCAATATTTGGAACAACGAAGCATGCAACTTGACAATGGATTCGACTACTATATATATAGAAAATAAGATGAACATGAAAATGGATTTGGATGGTAGAAGTCCCGT